CTATTGATTTTTCATTCTTAGCCAAACCAGTTTTTCACCATTTGGATAACAACAAGCGCTGATGTACTGTTCTATTGGTGTCGATAAAGTTGTTATGTACATTATTGTGGCTGTGCCGACTTCTGGAGAGACTTACCTGTTCGTGATGTCAGAAGCCCATCTTAATCCAGTTTGAATACTGCTAATTTCTAAATTACATAAGCATTTGAATTTCTTGAATAAAAACTCATAGCAGTGTTGTTGTACAGGAAAAAATTTATGAAAAATCTCTTTTTTCCCCTTTCATTTCTCAAGATTTAAACTCCTCTTTCAATTTCCTGAAGTTGTCGGGAAGATACTTGTTAGTTTTTGCTGCATTTCCTTTACTTTGAGATTAAAGTTCCTCTGATCTCAGTTTTAAATTAATGTCCACCAGGATATCCACAGAGTGAAGTCTGGGCTGCTCTTTTCATTCTAATCCCTTGTTTATCTAAGAAACTAGAACCCAAAAGTCGAATCCCTGTCTGCGTCTTAAGTATAAGAGTGGCTTTGGAGATGAGTAATATTGAACACATTCAGCCTCAATTTTCTTTTTTCCTTTCATCTTTTCTTTTTTCTTTAATGTCATGTTTTCTTACTGCTTCTTTCTTGTTGTTGTTTTTGTGACATTTTTGAACATATCCTATCATTTCCCTTACACTCAAAATCTGAGAAAACTATACTAATGTTTCTACAAAAGTCAATTGATTTAAATATATCTTGGATTTTAACCTAGGCCTCCTAATAAAGCACCTAGTTATTTCCTGTTTGAGAACTGTAAGACAATCTTTTTCAGCGATTGCTCATGCTCCCCATAATACTATTTTTGACCGTTGACTGACACCAGCTACACTCACAGACACTGCACAGGCATTTGCTTATGTATTTGCTGACTGCTTTGCATGGGCCTCCTACAGCCTAGCCCAGCTGCTGAGAATTTATAAACCAGCCTTTTCAGTGAGAACTGAACTGCATCAGACAGCAGGGGAAGCAACATGAAGTCACAGACCCAGGTCCTCATATCCCTGCTGCTTTGGGTGTCTGGTATGAAAATCAAATTATTATAATCTTTAGAGTCACTTCTTTGCACAACAGAAATTTGAGTGTGTTAGGCTCAATATTTCTTATATAATGATACTCTGATACAATAGTAGTACAATGTAACTAATGATAAATTTCAACTGTTTTACAATCTGTGTTTGTGTTCATATGCATGTTCATATGTATTCCTGACTGCAGGTACCTGTGCAGACATCGTGATGACCCAGTCTCCATCCTCCCTGGCTGTGTCAGCAGGAGAGAAGGTCACCATTAGCTGCAAATCCAGCCAGAGCCTTACTTTAGGAGGCACAAACTTCTTGTCCTGGTACCAGCAGAAACCAGGGCAGTCCCCTAAGCTGCTGATCTACTGGGCATCTACTAGGCACACTGGGGTCCCTGATCGCTTCACAGGCAGTGGATCTGGGACAGATTTCACTCTCTCAATCAGCAGTGTGCAGGCTGAAGACCTGGCAGTTTATTACTGTCTGCAGAGTAAAAGTACTCCTCCCACAGTGCTTCAGCCTCCAACACAAACCTCCTCTAGAGTCTCACCAGCTGCCTGCACCACACACAGCCCTGGCCCTGCACACTTCCCCCTTCTGTGTGATAGAGGTTCTGACTAAGAAAGTGATGAATTGTTTGCAGAGCCCAGTACAAATTATGGGTTCAAAGTCTCTTATGTCTTTTGATATGAAAACACTTCATATGAAAATGCAAAAATGAATTCAGGATTTTTTTCTTTCTTTTCCTTCTGTAGAACTTGGAAGACAGAAAAGAGGCCATCAGATCACTGTAAGAAATCTGGAAGCAGATGTAGATATTTTTAACCTTAAAGTGCTTTTAGAACCCAAGGAGAATGACAAAGATGATCAGGATATTTTGTCTATAGAATTCCAGGGAGAGCAGGCTAAAGCAAAGTGGGCAAGACTTGACAAAGAAACAAGAAGCACCGAAGAGAGATACAACATATTTTGTAAACTTGGTAGAAGTCCCAGAAGAAAAATGAGGCTGTTCAAGCAGAGACCCAAGAGCAGAGAAGAAACATATGCCAAAAACTCAAGAGAAAAGTTTTGTACTCAAATAGATGAAGTGCAGACTCCTTCCCTAGACCATTAAATAACCCGCTGTACCAGCTGAATGTCTTTACTGATTTCCATATTTTAGAGGTTTTATAAGAAAACTTCAGATTGAGAAATGAGCTAAAGGGATTGATTTTAGAGCAAAATAAGCTGAAAAGAGGATTCTGAAGCATCAATATATCATTTTGAAATCACCACAGACGTATCAAGGATGACACATTGAGTCCCTCAAAGCATTTCATCAGAAGGCAATGAAGGAACTCCTTTCCCAAAATTTCTCTTTTAAAGTAGCCAATCTGAATTGCAAAAAAATCACAACTCAAGGAGTACTTATAAAATATTTCCACTGGGGCTGTTATGTTTTTCAGGGGAGGGGAAGCTGAGGTGGTGGTAGGGTTTGTCACAGAAGCAGTCTATGTCCATCTTTCTCAACTGTAATTCAGTTGGACACTGATCATGGACTTCACTTTTTTATCTGTTGACAGTATGAACAATGAACATCCACATGAAATCTTGGGTCAGTACTTGGCATGGGCCTCAGCATGATCTCCTGTACACAGCAAAGACACCAACACTGCCTTCTGCCACAGTCATGGGCCACAAACACCATCAGAGCCCTTGGTAGCGGCACAGCTGAAGAACATCAACATGGCCTCAGTTAGCAGGGCAGACCACTCACGTCAATAGGTCCCCTGGCAGTGGCATTGAGAATGGACATTAACATGGATACATGTGGGAGCTCAGATCATGGACATCTGCCTTGCCTTGATTATTCCCAAATAATCAAGAAAGATGTTATGAAAAACAAAACAAAACA